TGCAGTCATTTGGGGAGTGAACCAGCCAATGGAAGATCTCTCAATCTCTGTCTCTCTGTAATTCTTTCAAATAAAAAAAATGTTAAAAAAAAAAACAAAACACACACAAAAGATCAGCAGACATCATTTCTGCAGGTCTATCCCCCTCCACACTACACCTGTCAGGCCTCCTGCACTCCGTAGCCACCTCCCCACATCCCAGACCCTTGGCCAGGCTTCTGGTTGGGTGGAGGTGGAGACAGCATGTGTTGATTCTTAGCGCCATCTTGTGGTCATATCTAGATACTGCACTTTCCACCCACTCCCAGAGCAGAAGGAAACCAATGTCCCCAGGCCCACAGGGGCTTCAAGGCTGTGTAGCAAGGAGGTAAGGTCAAAGGGGCATAGCAGAGCACACAGGCCACTGTAATTATAACACTGTAAAGACTAGTATCGCAGGACCAAAGACCAGAATGACAGGTGAAAAATAAAAACAGAAAACAGAGGAGCTGTTCAGCCCAGGGGCTAAGGCTCTGGTTAAGGAAAACACTGTCCCCATCAGAGTCCTGGCTTCACACCCAGCTCCGCTCCTGCTCCCAGCTTCCTACTAACTCAGACCTTGGAAGGCAGTGATGATGGCTCGAGTAGTTAGGTTCCTGCCACCCACACAGGACACCTGGACAGAGGCCCCAGCTTCAGCCTGGAACAGCCCCAGCCATTCAGGATATTAGGGAAGTGAACCAACAGATGGGAGCACTCTAATTAACTAATTTTTTAAAAAACAGAAATATAGGAGGGTCCGGTGCAGTGGCACAGAGGGTTAAAGCTACCGCCTGCTGTGCCGGCAACCCGTATGGAACCGGGTTGAGTCCTGGCTGCCCCACTTCCAATCCAGCTCCCTTGTTATAGCCTGGGAAAGCAGTGAACAATGGCCCAGGTGCTGAGCCCCTGCCACCTGCGTGGGAGACCCTGGCTCCTGGCTTCGGCCTGGCCCAGCCTTGGCTGCTGTGACCATTTGAGGAGTGAGATCTCTCTGTTAACTCTGCCTTCAAATAAATAGCCAACAGAGAATTTTTAGTATTCTTATCATGTCTTCACTAGAAAAACCGGGAATCGTCAGAGGTGCTTGGGGCGGGGCAGCAGGGAGCTGGGAACCCTCAAAGGCACCAGGCTGTGATCCGGGCAGAGCAGCCTGGAGCCAGCCTGAGCTCTCCACGGTGCCCGCTGGCTGGGTGTCTCCTTCCCAGCGCACCTGCAGCCTGGGGGCAGATGGGCAGAGCCCCCACCCTGCAGCACCAGGCCCTTTCCCCAGCACTTGGTTACGTCTTGTTTTTGTCCGCGGACAGACTCCCAGTTCTGTACGGACACTGACGCGGGCCCTGCGCCAGGAACTGCCCTCGTACCCCACCTGGGGAAGGGAGTCAACACCAGGGAGGGAAGGGGACTGAGGAGCTGCACCCTGTCCCAGCCGGGGGGTGGGGGGAAGCTGGCACTCTGGGCCCTGGCCGTTGTGTCTGCGCAGCCCCATGAAGGGGGCAGCATGGAGGTGGGCACCAGGGACTCACCCCACGCAGCACGTCACATGTGCAGTGTGTGAGAAGAGCTACAATTCACACACAGAGCCGTGTGCCTTTTTCTTTTTCTTAGACAGTGGGAGAGAGAAACAGAGAGAAAGGTCTTCCTTCCGTTGGCTCAACCCCCAAATGGCCGCTACTAGCAGCACTGTGACGATCTGAAGCCAGGAGCCAGGTGCTTCCTCCTGGTCTCCCATGCGGGTGCAGGTCCCAAGCACTTGGGCCATCCTCCACTGCCTTCCCAGGCCACAGCAGAGAGCTGGCCTGGAAGAGGAGCGACCGGGACAGAATGCGGCGCCCCAACCGGGACTAGAACCCGCCGCAGGCGGAGGATTAGCCTAGTGAGCCGCGGCGTCGGTCTCTGTATGCCTTCTAAAACACAGCCTGGACTTCCACAGGCCCACCCTGAGGCTGCGGGGTGTAGCCACCAGGGGGCACCGCTGAGGCGCCACACAAAGGGAGCAAGACCGATGCGTGGGAAGGGCAAATGCACAGCCGGCTTAAAAAAGGGCTCAAATTTTCAAGACTGCATTGGGGTCCGAACCGGACCCAAGAAAGCAGTATTGGGGGTGCTGCGTCGCAGCTCCAGAGAAGGTTCTACTGCAGCAGTCTGACAGGAGTCTGGGAAATTCACACCAGGCATCCGCAGCGACCAAGACGCCTGGTGAGGGCGAGCCTGGAGCTGATGAACACTGAGGCCAGGGGAGGAGACGGCAGGCTGTCCAGGAGCTGCCCCCACTTCCGGGAGTTTAAAAGAGTGTCCTCACCCATGGCTACAATGTGTTCAGTGGGACCCCCGGCCTGGGCACACAGCCCAAGTTCTGAGTGCTAGGAAAGAAATGTGTTTTCTATGTTATCAACTACACGGCTTCATTCTGACTGCATGTCAACAAACCGCCGGAGGACAAGCAGTCCTAATGCATTTCCTCCTGGGGCTGGCAGTGTGGCCCAGCAGGACAAGCCAGCACCTGTGCCGCCAGGTTCTCATATGGGCTGCTCCACCTGGTACTCAGGCCCCTGCACCCATGCGGGAGACCCACATGGAGTTTCTGGATCCTGGCTTCAGCCTGGCCCAACCCCAGGCGCTGGGGTTATTTCGGGAGTGAACCAACAGATGGAAGCCCCATCCCAATTGCCTTTCAAATAAATAAAATACCAAAAGAAAATACAGGTCTTTTCCTGGCCTCAGGGAACACGGCCACAGCGACAACCTGTCTACAAAGACCTCTGTCTACAGCCGGCCAGCCGCACTCACGCGTCCTCGCCGCGCTCTCGGCCCCAGCGTTCAGCATCTCACCACATCCCCGGCTCGGAAGCGCGCCCGAGGACATGTAACGCAAACGTGCCAACGTGGGTATCTGCGGCTCCCGGCCTTAATAAGCGGGGCTATAAAATCTAAGAGCTGTCGTTATTTTGGTGGCAATTAGAGCTATTGGCATTTCTGAAATTCATCGGAGGTTTTACTGTAACTTTCACAAAACACTGGCTTCTGATATGGCTTTGGAGATAATAAATTGTTTACAGCTATAACATTATTAAGAGAAAAGTTACTGCTGCAAAATTAAACTAAGCCCATATTAAAATTCAATCAAAATAAATTGCTCTTGATCAAAACAATGATATGCTTAAAACATTTAATATTGACCCAATTTAATGGGAAGAATATATATTGCTCCATTTGCAATCAATATGCTGAGTTAATACTTTCATTACTTCTGCACAGTGTTCAGACTATTTAAGGGTATTGAGCAGCACTCCTCACACAGCCCCACGGCCCGCAGGTGCACACGTACCTGAGGCCGCGATGAGAGACAACCAACAGGGGCCACAGGCACCACTGCCACCCAGGCACCATGGCCTGAGACAGCGGCTCCACAGCGCTGCAGTCACCGCTCTGCAGGACTGTGTGCACGTACTGATCTGACAGGTGCAGGAGGCAGACGGCGTGCTCCCGGCTGCCGGTTCTTGCCCCAAAGGCCTGCAATGGCCAACCCGGGTCCCCTGCATGGGTGCCAGGAACTCGGTCACCTGCGCCCCCAATGCACCGGCAGGAAGCTGGAGTCAGGGGCAGAGCCGGGAGTCACACCCAGGTGCTCTCACGTGCAGGCTGGCATCATTTTCTTCCCACCTCTAATTTTTTAAAAAAAATTAATTTATTAAAAGGCAGAGTTACAGAGAGGGAAGGAGACAGGGAGACAGAGAGAGATTCCATCCACTGGTTCATTCCCTAAATGGTTGCAATGGCTGGGGCCAGGCCAGGCCAAAGTGAGGAACCTGGAACTCCACTGGGGTCTCCCATCAGGTGCAGGAACCCAAGCACCTCCATCTTCCGCTGCTTTCCCAGGCCGTAGCAAAGGGCTGCATCAGAAGTGGAGCAGCTGGACTTGAACCAGCACCCACATGGGATGCCGGCACCGCAGTGGTAGCTTGACCCCACTGTGCCACAGCGCCAGCTCTGAATGCAGGCATCTTGCCTTTCAGATTATTTTTAAAAAGAACAACGCTGCATCCACTTTAAAGAGGTCATGGGGTGTGTGCCGCAGACTGGACACGGGTCGAGAGCAGCAGCTCTAAATAAGAGAAGAAAACCATCAGGGCGCCCTTCCCTCACGCAGGCCAATGGGAAGCCACAATGAATTCAGCACAGCAGGTCTCCCTCACGCAGAGTAAGAGACAGCTGTTAGAGGAGGGGGCCAAAATCACCCAGTATTAGATACACAGGAAGCAGGGGCTCCGCCACGCTCCCACGGGGCCGACGCGGGACCGAGAGAGGGCGCCGGGGGCTCAGAGGGCGCCGAGGAGAGGACGGCGTCTCACCCACGTTCTCCTCTTTCGCCTCGCATGTGTCACCTGACAAGGCCACGGGGACTAAAGCCAAGTCGGTCTGGAGCAGAATGCAGGGGACCACGAAGGAAGGGGGGCTGTGCACACTGGGTGCGCTCGGGGCCGGCCGCAGGCACAGCAGAGCAGACGAGCGCCCCCTCGAGGCTGGGGCGCAGGACTTTCAGGGGCGCACGCTCTACTGGGGGCAAGTCCTCTAAACTACTATCCTACTTCAAAAGGAAAACAAGAACAGAGCCCCCACCCCGTCCTGACGCGGGCCCCACAGTGACCGCTCTCAGCCTCACGGCCTCTCTCTTCCCAGCTCTGCCCGACCCTCCTGTCACCTAAGACTCACCTCCCTATCTGAAGACAGACCCACACAGGGGCGGGGCACCCTCTTTCTGTCAAGGGCCTCCCAGATATTGACATCATCATTCGGGGGCCAGCCAACATCATCAACTTAAAGTTTAGCCTGAGGCTGCCCTGGGGGGCCCAACGTCCACCCCCGACCCAGACAGTGCCAGCTTGGGGCCACAGGAGGGGCTTCTGGCTCGAGCAGGCTGAGGCCACCGCCCACTGTCAATGCAGAGGCCCAGGGCGCCGACTCCAAGCGGGGAGACTGACCTTAACCGCTGCCGGTAGGAGTCCTCGTCGCCGTCGTCTCGGCACCGTGCCGCCTTCCGACGGTTCCCCGCGGCCGCGGCTGCAGCTCCCCCGTCCTCCTCGTCCTCCTCAGAGCTGGGGAAGAAGTCTTCATCCACCTCCTGCGCTGGGGCTCTCTGCCGCCGGCTCCTGCCCTGCGGCAAAGGCTTCAGCTCATAGTCGGGGCCGTCTCCAGACAGGTCCGCACCGGCCACGGCCCCCGGCCCCTCCCCGTCCGTGGGGCAGTCCCCAGACCCCTCAGCCTCGGAGTCGCCGGCTGCTCCGGGCCCTGCCCGGGGCTCCGATGGCCTCCCCCGCCGCAGCAGCCCCAGGCCGCCCTGGAACTGGCGTGCCCGCCTCTGCAGCTTCTTCATGTGCTGCTTCAGGCGCTTGTCTGCCCTGGACAGCGCCCTGCTTCTCGAGCCCGGCTCACTGCCCCCAGGGGCTGGGCTCAGCGTGGCGGGGACGGCGGCCGGGGCCTTCCTGGCTGCCCTGGTGCCGCCGGCTCGCTTCTTCCTCTCCAAGGACAGCTTCGCCTGCTCGGCCAAATACTTCTCGAAGCCCGACGCCTCGTCCAGCATCAGCCTCCTGGGCTTCCGCTCCTGCTTCTGAGGAATCCGGGTCCCAAAGGGCGTCATCTGCCCGGTGCGGACGAGCTCCTCCCAGGCTGCCTCCTGGGCGGGCATGAGCATGCTGCCCAGACTGGACGGCCCTGGCTCTGAGGGAGAAACGACACCCACTCAGCACCCGCACACAGGCACCTGCGGGCCGTGCACCAGTGCGCACCGCAGACGCGGGACGCAGTGCATCACGGCACCGTACCACGCCACACGCACGACGCTCCTGTTCGACCCACACTCCACCTGAGTGCTAGGACCAAGATTCAGGGCGTCTTGAAGGCAGAGACAAGCTACCCCCACAGGCACTATGGGACGTGGCTGTCACCCCTGGGAGAGGCGTTTGGCCTAGCGGTTAGGACGCCAGCCAGGACACCCCTGTCCCACATTGGAGGGCCTGGGTTTGATTCCTCTCTCCAGTGGCCTGCTAATGCACACCCTGGGAGACAGCAGTGATGGCTGAAGTCACCCATATGAGACAGAGACACGGACTGAGTTCCTGGCTCTGGGCTTCGGTCTGTCCAGCCCAGGCCATTGCAGGCATCTGGGGAGTGTCCCAGCATGTAGGAGCTCTGGCTCTCAAATAAACTAAAATAAAAAACAGCTGTGCACCGCCCAGCGTGGCCACTGCCAGTGACCTGTGGCTATTTACATTAAATTAAGTCAGAAACTCGGCTCCCGGCTGCACTTGCCCTGTTTCAAGTGCTCGGTGGCTCCAGATGATTACGGGTTACTACAATGGCCGCCACAGAGAGGGCACAGTCTCACCATGAGCAGAGGCCTATGGACAGCACAGGGGTGGACAGGAAGTGACCTGACTTGGAAGGTACCTGCAACTGGAAGTTAGCCACAATAAGCCCAGTCACCCTTCTCCCACTAGCTCTAACTAATCTCCAGCAGAATCACTTTGCTACAAAGCCAAAACAGCACGGACCTCAGGCTGCACGGAAAGGAATCCCCACTTCTAAGTCTACACTGCCTGCAGCCCCGGAGACCACTCCAGCTTCCTGGTAAACTCGTGCCGACCTAAAACATTCAGCAGAAAGTGCACAGATGCCAAGTACAGAGTGCAGCGCTTTTGGATGGACCGGCATCCAGGTCACCAGGCGCCCCCGGCACCCTGGGGTCCAGCCCAGGCGCCAGCTGCACCTGGCTCTGAGCCCGCCAGAAGGGAGCTGGGCGGGAAATGCCTGTGCTCTTGGCTCTGCGCGCTTCCGCTCAGCACTGCGCTTCTGAGCCCTACCCGCTGCCGAAGGCGGCCACAGCGCTGCATTCTCCTGTGTGCCAGCAGGTACGGCACATTCGCCCACTACACCGTTAACAAGGACCTGGGAGGCTTCCAGGTGTTGGCTACTGACGCTGATATCCTGCCACACAGCTCTGGGAAATCCACTTGTATGAATCTGTGGGCGTGTGACACCGCACACAGTTCTCCGATTTTAAGTTCCACCCACAGCGTCTGGGAGTCCCGCCGGGCACACGTTCTTGAGCTATGCTGGTGCGTGCCACAGTACTACCCAGAGAAGGTCATCTGCAATTCTCATGACTGATGGACCAGGCCGAGCTCTGTGAAGATGGCGCACTCCTCCCAAAGCTCGTGCTGCGGCCTGGTCCCCAGTGTAAAGGGTGCTGAGAGACTGGGGGGGGGGGGGGGGCTCAGGAGGCTTCTGGATCAAGCAGGACCCACCTTAAGGAATGCATCCAGGCCTTCCTCTCGGAAATGAGTTATTTCCGGCAGGAGAGTGACCTGCTGGGAAAGCAAGCCTGGTCCCTCAGTGCTCCTGCTTCCTCTCTCTGCGGCTCAGGGCCCGCAACAGACGCGGTGGCCCAGCCACCAGCACCACGAGCCGAAACAAACCTCTACTTGCCTGATCACCCAGTCCAGTCGAGGGGACTCTGTCCTAACAGAGACTGGTCTGAGACAGAGCCTGCATGTATTCACTGGCAGCCTCTTCTGTGTACAAAATGTTAAAGTCTTTTGCTCCTTTTTGTCTGCCTTAAAAAAAAAAAAATCCTCCCAGGAGTTTCTGTTCCAGATCCATGTCCCCTGCTTCACACGCGTGCAGTGGGCACCCCGTCCCCATGGGCTCCCTTCGTGTGGGAAAGCCGCTCCTGTCCGGAGCTCCCCGACTTTCTCCCCGTCATCATTCCCTGAACAATAGTCATTAGTTACGTAGCTGCCTAGCGACAGAGTACTGGGGGCGGGGGAATGCGTGCAGGTTCTGTGCAAGTACTCCACTGAATACGGGGGTCTCACACACCACGGTGCCTGTGGGGGCCCCAGAACCAACTCACCACAGACTGGGGTGGCTGCTGCAAACACCTCCCAGCCTGTGCCTACCTTTCTACTCTAAACGCCACGTTTCGGCAAACCAACGTTCTTGGTGTGGAGACAGGCTACGTAGCAAACCAGCTCCCTTCCAGGGGGTGTTTCTGCACCGCTCACAGCTGGATGACTGGAGACGGCTACTGCACACAGAACCCGAAGTCAGATTCACGACCAGCTCAGCAGCGCTCTTCCCCGCAGCACTGCCTGCTGCTTCTGCCCTAAGTCAAGGGACCACGTGTGGCTGGATCCGTTGGCCAGGCCCTCTCCTCTGTCCCATCAGCCTGTTTATCCACCTGTGTGCCAATGGCGCACTATCTTAATTATGATAGATTTATAGCAAGTCTCAACACTGAGTTCACCTACGTGATGCCTTGGCTATTCTCGGCCCCATGCATCCTCACACAAATTCCAAGTTTGCACATGCCCCTCCCCCCTCCCCCCCACACCTCTTACCCCCTGGCCTTCCCTCAGGGGAACAAACCCTAAAACACATACTGGGGTGCTCTGAAACTGTAGCAGGACAAGAGATCTGATGTCTTCTCAGTACAGTGTCTTCCAATCCACAGCTACGGTCTAGGAAGACTTACATCTTTATTTTCTCAATGACATTTTATAGATGTAGAAAACACTGCAGGGCTGGGGCCATGGCTCACTTGGTTAATCCTCCACCTGCGGCGCCAGCATCCCATATAGGCACCGGGTTCTAGTCCCGGTTGCTCCTCTTCCAGTCCAGCTCTCTGCTGTGGCCCGGGAGGACAGTGGAGGATGGCCCAGGTGCTTGGGCCCTGTACCCCGTGTGGGAGACTGGGAGGAAACACCTGGCTCCTGGCTTGGATCAGCACAGCGCCGGCCATAGCGGCCATTTGGGGAGTGAACCAATGGAAGGAAGACCTTTCTCTCTGTCTCTCTCTCTCTCACTGTCTATAACTCTGTCAAATTAAAAAAAAAAAAAAAAACACTGCAGAAAACTACATTCTTCTGCTAGGGCTTATTTCTAGGCATTTGATTTTTATTGTAACTGGCTCCTTTATTACATTTCATTGTTTGTGGCACAAGGAAATAAGACAGATTTTTACACATTGACCTTGTATTCAATGACTGCGCTAAATTCCTATATAATTCTGCTAGGCAGGAAGTTAGAAATCAGCCTGTGTGAGCAAGAGGGGCCTAAGGAAAACACTGCATCTGCAGAGGCCCTTCATGGAGGCAGCCCAGGATCTGACACTGGAGTCCTCCCCACACCCGAGTATGACTGTGCGCTCAGCTCCAGCCCTGCCCGAGCGGCCCGCCTGGCCCGTCAGCTGTTCCTCCCAGTAAGCCACTCAGCTCTCCCCAGGCTGAGTGAATAAACTACTGTGAACTCTGTGCATAATCAGAGTTTTACCTCTTCCTCCCCATCCTATGTTTTCTCATTTCTTCCTCCCAGACCACAAAGACTATGCCAGAGTTCCACTGGGCTTGGAATTGGTCCCAGAAGGAAACTTTGCCCACTGATCCTTACAACCACGTTAGGAAAAGATCTATGGAGAGGCCAGCGTTTGAACGGAGAGCTCAGGGAAGCACGAGAGCAGAAGTAGAGGCTAACACAGCCAAGGTCCACACCGCCAACATGCTGCTCGGTCCCCAGGGCCTGGGCTCTTCGGCGTTCTGCTCTGTTGACTCCCCAGGTGGGGCGGAGGTGGGGAGTAGAAGACCAGGAGTTTCGGGGTGACCTGGTGCCGGAACAGTGCAGGAATCCTGAGTTCAACAAAAAGGCAAGGCCAAAGGTCTCCTGGCTTACAGCTACTAGAACCTAGGTAGCTGCACAATCTCTGGGGAGTGGATGTGCGTGCTCAGGGAGAGGAAATGAAACAAGACTATGACTCAGCAAGGAATCCTGAAACATATCAGCATTTATGATAAGGGCAGAAAAGCTGGCAAAGCTAACTACAGAGAAACAGAGGGCTGAATGAGGAGCAGGGGGGAGGGGATCCCCGAAGGCACAGAGGAATCAGCTGCTACAGACAGGGCGCAGAGCGGGCAGGAGCAGGGCTTCTGGATCTGGGGAGGCAGCTATTGGTCCCGGGGAAAGTTTAACCAAAGTAACAGCAGGAGGCGGAAGAGAGCAGGCTTCAGACAGCAAGACAGGAACAGAAGAGCAGCATGTGCCCCGGCACAGAGCACGGCCTGCAGGCCTATAAATTCTCAGAGACTGAACTTTCCTTCTCAGCGCTTTTTATTTTCATCTATGTGAAAGGCAGAAGGACAGAGACGCAGAGGCGGAAGAGAGAGATCTTCCATGCTCTGGGTCACTCCCCAAATGCCCACAACAGACAGGGCTGGGCCAGGCCAAAGCCAGGAGCCCTGAACTGCATCCAGGTCTCCAACACGAGTGGCAGGGAACGACGTCCTTGATCCACCTGCCGCCTCCCAGGCACATCAGCGGGGAGCGGGATCAGAGTAGAGTGGCTGGGACTCAAACCAGCACGCCAGAATGGGATGCAACATCCCAAGCAGTGGCCTAACAGCCACGTCACAGTGTCTGCCCTGAGACTGGACTGCAAAAGCGCATCTTTCTAATACTTTTCTATTGCCTTCATTCATTCTTAATAATCTTGTCTTATGGAAAAAACTCCCAGTATTTTCTTGAAGAGCTAAAATGCAAAGACGACTTAATCTACATTTCAAGCAGTAAACGACTGAGCAGCAACCAACAGTCTCCGCACACACACAACAGAGCTTACCCTTTTTCCCAAAAGGCTTTCCAAAGGACAACCATTCAAGGCAGTAATAGCAACAAAATCATGGCCCTGGTATAACCCGCGTGAAGGCAGCACTGGCGTCATTCCAGAAACAACAGCAGAGGCTCACAAAGCCTGCCAGACGTGCCCATGAAAGGTGAGTGGAACAAGCCCACAGATGCTCAGGCCTGAGGCTGGCTTCCAAAATGCAGCTCAATCAAGACGCCAGTCACCTTTATCAACTTAACTGCGTGAGAGTGTTGACAGTGTTTACGACTTCCACTCCATTAGATGGAGGTGTCAGTGTGCACTGTTAAAACTGACTTTCATTCTCTAAAAAACCCCTATCAAGAGTTTGCTTCTGCAGGTTTAGAGAATAAAGTTTCCTTAAATCGGTTTTGACACGAAGGCAAAGAACCGTATTTTTCTCTAAACTCGGGCCAAGACTGAACACACGCCTTCCGGCATCGGGCATCAGGACACAGGGCAACCGCTCACGGCTCCTCACCTGCATCCTCCGCCCCCAGCCTGGCGTGATCCAGCTCGACTCGGGCCTCCGCTCCTCCCAGGATGGCCTGGAGACGCTTCTGTTTGGCAGTGATCTTCTTCAGCTGTTGTTCCTTGGATGGCAAATACCAAAGAGAACACAGCGACGCAGTGACTTTGTGAAGTGCCAACGACAGCATCTCAAAAGTCAGCAACGTCATCAAGAGAAAACCAAAGTCAGACAGGAATTCTGCACAGGAGAAGCACACAGGGAACCTGCGTGAGCACCTGCAGCGACAAGCCCCAGTCAGTCCCCTCTGGAGGCGTCCCCGTCCCGCCCACTCTGCGGCACGCAACGTCCGAGCCCAGGCCCTGAAGAACGCGCACACTACACGTTTCGCACTGGGCGCATCACTCAGTTTCTGCGCGTCGGACCTCAGCGGCCAACAGGCCATGCACAGTGAGAAGTGCGAATGCAAAAGCTGCAGCAGAGGGAAAGCTGGCCTCACATGCATGCTGTCCCACAGAGCACTCTGCTCAAGCACAAAACTTTCAAGGAAAACCATCTTCTGCTGTGCCTCTACCCCATCCGCCCCACACTCCTCTTCATCCTGGCTCCCTGGGCATCAACAGAGTTGAGATACGTGACCTTTGTGGGGCCTTACCCAATTAACTAAGCCTGGGGCTCTTGGTTTGTTTTTCAAGGTCAAGAATATTTCAATACCACAGTTGGGGGTTGGGGCAAGGGCAGCATTGTGGCGCAGCAGGAGCACAGGTCCAAGTCCCAGCTCCACTTCCAGTCCAGCTCCCTGCTAATGTGCCTGGGAAAGCAGCGGAAAATGGCCCAAGTGCTGCCTCCCACATGGACGACCCAGACAGGGCTCCGGGCTCCTGGCTTCAGCGTGGCCCAGCCCTGGCTACTGCAGCCATTCAGGGAGTGAACGAGCAGAAGGAAGATCTTTGTCTGTCTGTCTCTGTCTCACTTTTTCAATACACACATAAATCTTTAAATATTTTTTTTTTAAAAGTAAGTGTGGATGAAGGGAAATCCTGAACTTAAATGCTCACTGCAGGGATTGGCAACTTGTTTCTCAGTTTTTCCCTCAATAAATTCTCACTTAAAACACAATCCCTCTAAACATCAGAGAGCTACAATGGGAAGAATACATACTGAAGTTAGATCAGGACCTGAAGTTTGGTCGTCTTCGCCTTTGGAGCCGTGCAGGGGGGCAAAGGCCTCTGCACTGGCACTGAGGCGCCCACCAGAGGCCAGATGGGCCTCACCTGGGAGCTCCCGGCTGCCTCGAGGGACTGCTGCCACCGCTCAGCTGCTCTGGCAGAGGCAAGGGACAGAGACCAGGCGCTCAAGGACAGACTGCAGGTGGAACATGAAAGAAGGGACATCTTCGACGGCCTTCCAGGCACACAGCACGTGAGCAGGGAGCTGGACAGGAAGCAGAGGAGCCGGGAATTGAACCAGCGCTCTGATACGTGATGCCAGCACGGCAAGCAGTGGCTTAACCTGCTGTGCCACAACACCGGCCCCACTGTCGGACACAGAGGGTTAAAGAGCAACTCAGCTCTGCTGTGCCTCTGCCAGCTGTTGGCAGCTGAAAGGTGACACGGACAAAACTCAAATCTTCTCTATTGCAATTACAAATACCTGCTTGTCACCTTGCAAGTAATTTTCATAACAGGTAATGAAACACTACGCGGGCCTAACTAATGGTGTTTTCAAAAATGAGATACTTAGGCATTATTCTAAATTACCTTATTATACTTCTGCCGCTTTACGGAATCCAGTTTCCTGCTGACATCTTTGTTGGTGGCAGCTTGCGGGCTGAGTTGTTCAATAATTTTATTGATTTGCCTTAGGGATGTCGTACAGGCCCTGAAAGACAAGATAAACGGTGTGTGTTCCACTCTGGCGACACAGAGAGATAAGTGATTTAAAATGTGTTCCTTTGCCGTCTTATTAACTCAACGATAACAGAAAGCAAATTCTTAACGGGTCACAAACAGAACCTGAAGGGTCTGGAGACTCCCAGGGACGCCAGTGTTCTTCATCTGTGATTTAAATCAGCTCCTCCTACGTGCAAGCTGGTTCCAGTGCTGCAGTCCAGACTGTGCTAGGGTGACCTGCAGTAAGCTGCCCTCTTATGAGACGAGATGCACACGTGGGTTTTGAAGGTCTAGTAAGGAAGCTTCCCAAAACTCACAAGGTCCTGAAAGTGCTTGCACATCGTCTTATAAAAATCATTTATGTGTGACAATGTTTTATATTTATTTTTTTGACAGGCAGAGTGGACAGTGAGAGAGAGAGACAGAGAGAAAGGTCTTCCTTTTGCCGTTGGTTCACCCCACAATGGTCACTGCGGCCGGCACACTGTGGCCGGCGCACCGTGCTGATCCGAAGCCAGGAGCCAGGTGCTTTCTCCTGGTCTCCCATGCAGGTGCAGGGCCCAAGCACTTGGGCCATCCTCCACTGCACTCCCGGGCCACAGCAGAGAGCTGGACAGGAAGACGAGCGACCGGGACAGAATCCGGCGCCCCACCTGGAACTAGAACCCGGGATGCCAGTGCCGCAGGTGGAGGATTAGCCTATTGAGCTGCAGCGCGGCCAATTTTTTTTTATATTTCACAATTAAAAGATTCATTCACTGTTATATTAAACTTTGCAGTGTAATAAAGGCACATACAAAAAAAATTACACCTAAAATAGACACACAGAACTGTAGTTTCTAGTTGTCAAAAAGCTACAAATTCAATCCCAGGGCACCTGTGGGATTTGCTGCTTGTACTCTGCATCTCAGGATGCACAGTGCAGGCTGCCAGCCATCTAAGGCACCACGGCACCACCACCTAGCGTCAGCCTGCCTTCTGTCGCCTCTGTAAAAAACAGAGACATTTCTGAGGTCAAATGTAAAAGGTGTGCTCACTGACACTCAAGGTCACAGATACTCAAGGTCACTGACATTCCAGATCAAACTACAGCTCCGGAAGAGCATCTGCCACTCTGGAGGCCAAAAGCACACACCAGGGAACCGTGCACAGAAAACACGTCCTTGAACGGCCGCCAGCCACCTGCACCAGCGGCCTCCCCAACTGCACAGCCACCAGCCACGCGCTCTGGGATGGTCCCATTCCTCCACCCAGCCCCGGCCCCACCTGCTCTTTCTGCGGCTCTGATGCTGCCCAGAACTCAGCCCAGCAGGGGGCAGACCGGCAATGATGGGGGAGCTCAATCCTCCCTCCCACGCCCGCCCTGGCCCAGAGCCTCCCCCTCAGGGCCCACCGGGTCTCTCCTGCCAGACACAGAGGAGGTCCCCACAGGACTTCCTCCTTCCTTACAGAGTCAAGAGCGGGATGGAAGGGAAAAGCAGGGAGTTCTTCCCCAGTGTCTCCAGAAATGCACAGCAGAACAACTGTCAAGGGGCCAAGCAGTCTGTGGACAGCAAGGGACAAAGCACAGACGGAGAAAAGCACGCTCCTGGTTCCTGGAGTGGCAGACACCCAACTTCCGGTGCTGTTGCTCAAGCCCACTTTGGCACTCGGAAGAGCCCTCCTCGCTGGGACGTCCCACGTGCAGCAGGCTGTGTGAGCTGCACGGGGGCCCTAGCTGCTATGCACAGGCTGCAGCTGAGGCAGGGAAGGGTGCAAAGACGAGGCTGGGGACTGCCCTGGTTGACCCGGATGCCCCAGGGACAGGCTCTGTAACAGCCCACATTTCTGGACCTCCCCTGCTGTGCCTAAACACAAAACGCAGGAAGCAGACGGGCTGCACTCACGCGAGGTCATCCAGAACCGAGCCATACTCCTTCTCGGCGTCAGCGAGCTGGGCCACGCAGCTGGCCTTGTGGATGGCGCTGTCCACCTGCTGGAGCACGCCCTGCTCCAGCACAGCCTGGTCGTAGACGTCCACGCCCAGACCCTGCAGCTCTAGCGCCTGCGCGCTCGGCTCCACTGCCTGGATCTGGTGTCTGTCGATGTGCAGCAGGGCCGGCCCTCTCCTCGCGGCTGTTGACATGCCGTCCCCAGCGGAAGTGGATGGGCCATCGCCAGGGACCCGGGGGGGCAGGAGTGCCTCCCCCTCCACCTCCATCCCTTCTGTGTCTTCCTCTTGGATGGCCATTTCTGCATCGCTCTGGATGCACTCACTTGGTAAACAGTCCAAACCCTGAGTTTCATGTGAGTGGGGGACTCCTTCATTTGACATCCTCTATGGACTACCTAGGAGAGAAAAAAATAATAATACTCTTACAGTTAAACAGAGCTTCCAATTTTACAATTAAAGCAAATTGAATCTCAAGAGATCAAGTAATAAGTTTCCGATTACATAAACTCAAATTTCCAAGTGTTAGTTTCTTAAAAGGGCACAAATTGTTTATTTTCTTGGGTTCTGATCATAAAAAAGGAAAATTAACCAAAAAAAAAAAAAATAAGAGATGCAGTTATCATCAACAAAGGACATGTGGGCACCCAGCACAGAAAGCCACACTAAGAAGGTGAGTGACAGCCACGCATGTACACCGGAGCAGCCGAGGTCACGTGGCGGCTCTCCCCAGTCAGCACCTTCGTGACCCGCCGGGATGTGCAGCCCGTGCGGGAAGGAGAGCGCCTCCGCGTGACCTGAACTGGAAACTTCGCGGCGAACACCTAGCCAGCACGTGGGAGCCTTGAACAAACGCCAGCCTCGGGCAGAGTCATCAGAATCATCTCAGCCATGACTCCACTTCGATTCATAATGTCCCCTCTCATGACGCTGGCAAGGAGGCGGAGCCCGAGCCTGGCCCTGGCGGATGAGCAGGGGGACCCTCCCTCACACTGCTGATGGGAACGTGAACAAGTAGAGCCCTCTGGCGGGGACAAGTTTGCAATACCTGTCAAAGTTTAAGACGCACCAGACCTGCAGCCAGCAATTCCAAGTCAAGGTGTTTATTCCAGAGAGATACATGCAAATGAGAAGGCACTCACCGTGGTAGGTGAACAGTGTAAAGTAGCCACCAAGTAATTTCTGTGGTACAGATATAAAAGCCACGCTAAATGAAAAACGTGACACACACAGCGTGAATGAGGTTACACTCAGAGAAACACGCATCTCCATCTGTGGGTGTAGACACAGGGACACAGACATGCAAAGATGTATAATAAACCCGCGGGGGTTAGGAGGGACGGAGAGGAGCAAGGGAGAACTTTCACATTTGTCTATGTACTCAGAAACTGCTTAAATTTCCGTGCAGTCCCAACTTCGTGCATGTAACGATAACATCCAATAAATGCATTAAAAACCGTGACTAACCAAGAGACAGCCTTCCTGTTATTGAACTGCGAACAAACTCGGGTTTCTTTCAGCACTGAAATCGTTTTCGTGAAATGACACAAGTCCTTTCCGCCCGCACTGATCCCTCACTGAACAATCCCAGCCACCAAGCAAGGCAAGGACAGCCCGCAAAGGCACCAAGAATTTAGCATCCCCCAGCCCAGCTGGCACAGAGGTGTCAGTGACACCCCCACAGGGCAGGGCAGCCCGTGCGGGCAAGGACAAGAGCCCATGGGAACGGGGAGCGGGGACACTGCAAACATCACGGAGGCGCTCAGAGCTGACACCGGCCCCTGGTCTGCACCGGAGGAGCTGCTCCACACCCGGTGCTGGCAGGTATGGCCCGGGGAGCAGCCTGGGAGAACAAGTCCAGTCTGGCCAACTGAGAGCGAGGAGGAGACTCTCAGACAGGAAGCCGGGAGGGGCCGTGGGGGTGAGACGCAGCAATCTGTACAAAGAGAGAGGGCGACAGGGATAGACAGGTCCAGAGCCACCCGGGCTGGGAGGCCTGACCCCCGGACGCAGCTGAGTATGTAGCGGTAGAGGAAGGACGCTCCAGTGGACCGCGGAGCCAAACCCCACACCAGGTAGGAAGTCTGGGCCTTCCCCACATCAGGGGATAGGGTGGGATGGGGGATGGGCAAGCGTCCTGTAGAAGAAGAAAAGAGGGCTGAGGCGGAACCAAACCGCAGGCAGGACAGGACAGGACAGGACGGAGCGCCGAGGTGAGGCAGGCCGGCCACAGCCACAGACTGCAGAGGGGCCCAGGCGTCTCCTCTTTCAGGGAGTAGCAGTCTGCATAGGAGTGGGACAACAGGAGGGCCCCGGGGTTGAAGATGCTAAGAGGAGCAACTAAGTAACTCACTTGGGGTCCAAGCTGGGGAGTTTTTTTCTTAAAGCCGGGAGAGCCAGTCTCCCAGGCCAGCTGGAAGGGAGAAGGCGCTCCCTGGAAAGTCAAGCAAGAGTTTCGGAAGTGAAATAAACCAGGCGTGCAACAAGTAACAAGCGCCCAGGTGAACTAGCTCCTGCCCACAGAGCTTAGAGTCCCTTGGAAAAGGCAGGCCTTTTTTTAAAAAAGGTAACTGTATATATCCACACATGGACATGGAGCTGCGGTGACGGCTGGTAAGAGCACAGGATTCTGGGGCCGGCGCTGTGGCATAGCGGGTAAAGCCGCTGCCTGCAGTGCCAGCATCCCATATGGGTGATGGCTCGAGTCCTGGCTGCTCCACTTCCGATCCAGCACTCTACTGTGGCCTGGGACAGCAGAAGATGGCCCAAGTCATCGGGCCCCTGCACCCGCGTGGAAGACCCGGAAGAAGCTCCTGGCTCCTGATCAGCCCAGCCCAGTTCCAGCCCACCGTTGTGGCCACTTGGGAAGTGAAGCAGCAGATGAGACGCAAGATCTCTGTGTGTCTCTCTCTAACTCTGCCTATCAAATAAATAAATAATAAATCTTAAGAAAAAAAAAATACAGGGTTGTACGATAAGAAAGACTTGAGGAATTTGCGGAGGGAGGTGTGTGGTCAAGGAGGCGGCTTTGACAACGCGACCCTGAAGCGGGCAGCCAGAAGGGTCCATCAGGCCACCAAGAGTGCACGGGATACCTTGCAAAGAAACAGCAGGTGTCACTCGCACGGCTGCGCACAGCTGCCCCTGGAGGCTGGCACACAGCGAGCCACGTTTTAACTTTATTTTCAACTTTGAAATTAAAAAAAAAAAATGCCCACAAGGACTCTGCTCGGCTTGTGCCAATCTCACAGGATACCCTGCGACAGTGACCGGGGGCTGCGGGGGCTGGGACCCTGTCCGCCGGGCGGCCCGGGAACCCGCCGGGGCAAGTCTCCACAAGCCCCGGGTCGCTCGTTCAAGCAACACCGCCGCCATCGCCGTCGTCTACACACAGGGGGTCCCGCGACGCCCACTCCGACCACTCGCGGTGCACCCCCGGCCGCCCTCAGGTGAGCGCGCGCCGCGGCGTCACTTCCGGTCGCCGCGCGACCCCGGGTCTGAGCCCGGGCCCCCTGCCTTCCGCACGGCGGGGCTCCATCACCCCGGCCCGGCAACGGCCCAGACACCCGCCGCCCCGCGCCGTACAGGCAGCCTGGCAGCCCGAACACTCACCCTCCGGCCCCGTGCGCCTGCCCGGACAGAAGCCGCGACGCGCGCCACGGTCGCCGCCAGCCGTCGTAGCACCCCCGACTTAGAACGGCCGTGGCGCATGCGCCCTGGGCCCGCCATAGGCCCCGCCCCCGCCTGCGCCGTGAGGCCGGCTGCGCAGGCGCCCGGTGCGCGTTGGGTTTGGCCGCCCGGGTTAGGGCTGTGTGGTCTGAGATTTGGGATGCGTGTGGAGTCTCTGCAGTCGGAGGATTGAGATGCGAACGCTAAAGGGGAAGTCAGCCTTGGGTGGCGGTGTGCAAGGGCGTCGCCGTTCGGCTCTGGCTGGGAACGCGTGAGGAAGAGGAAGTGGCCTTCGCCTCCGTCGCACCTGCGTCAATGCCTCGCTCGCCCTTGAACGTCCACCCTCAGTCTCAGCGATAGGGGTGGGGGGCTTCCGCCTGGAGCCCTCCAAGATGTCCTAGTCCCTGGTTCTCAGACTGTGACGTATTTGAAGGCAGGGTTATTCTTAAAGAAGGAACTGAGTTAGATGAGGTCATGGGAGTAGAATCTGCCATATGGCTGGTGTATTTTTTTATACAAAGAGATTAGGACATGAATGTGCACCGTGGAAACCCCAGGAAGAAGTCTGCAAGCCGGAGAAGGCCTGGGAAGAAACCAGCCCTACTGACAAACTTAATCTTGGCTTTCCAGCCTCGAGGACCGTGAGAAAGCAGATTCCTGTTGTGAAAGCCACCCAGCGCGTGGTCCTTGGTAGAGCAGCCATGGCAAGCTCTGAACCATTCCTGGGTCTGGAGCCCAGCAGAGTGGAGAGGACTCCTTGCCATTACTCTCTTCCGTTGTTTGATCTGCTGGTGGCTCCCGCTGGTCAAAACCAAGCTAAAACCAAAGGGCCGGAGAGCTTGTTGGTGCCTGTCCGTGTCGATCAGCCTTTGAGGCTGAGGATCAGAGGAGAGAGGCGGGGGTGGGTCTGGAGCACCAAGCAGAAAGCAGACGCCATTCCCCTACACGGTGATTACCCACCACTTGTAGCAGCCGTTCGCTCCTTCCCCCACACAATGATTAGCCACTGCTTGTAGCAACCGTTCACTTTAGAAACGAGATGGTGTTCGTTCAGCAAAGCCTTGTAGCTGAACCTGTATGTAGTGAGAGTAGTAACAAGGTCGCGTGTGCACTGCTGACTCAAGATCCATGAGCCCTGTGTGTGCCTACTAAGGATCCACCCACGCACTCACTGCGGCCTCCTCAGTCTTCCCTAACGAGCTACCTCCAGCCTGTGCGTCTGCTCAGACCGCCTTTACCGCTGTCCGCCACTCTCACACCCTCTTGAGACGCTAATGCCCACCATTTAGTGGGAGCACCGTTGCCCACATGTTCCAGGCGACATGCCGATGCCACTCCCCGTCGGCATCCTCTGGGGTCCTTGTTGAACTTGACTCCAGGCTGCGATGGGGACTGTCTCCTACTCTGTCTCTGCCTCACTCTGCCACCTGTGCCTCCCACAGGAGCCCTGCTTGTATCCCTGGTCTCCTAATATCATACCCAAGCTCATATCCCCCAGCGGTGGCCACGTGCACTACAGACACTGCGCCTTTATTCTTTTTTTTTTTTTTTTAAGATTTATTTATTTATCTGAAAGTCAGAGTTACACAGAGAGAAAAGGAGAGGCGCAGAGTGAGAGAGATCTTCCATCCACTGGTTCACTCCCCAACTGGCCACAACAGCCAGAGATGCGCCAATCCAAAGCCAGGAGCCAGGAGCTTCTTCCATGTCTCCCAAGGCTCCAAGGACTTGGGCCATCTTCTACTGCTTTCCCAGGCCATAGCAGAGAGCTGGATCAGAAGAGGAGCAGCCAGGACTCAAACCGGTGCCCAGACAGGATGCCAGCACTGCAAGCAGTGGCTTTACCCGCTATGCCACAGCACCAGCCCCATGCCTTTGAATTCTTCCATCCAGTTTCCTCCCCTAGGTGCGGGCGTGCGCACAAGCACACACACACACACACACACACACTCCACAATTCCCTCCTTCTTCTGTTCTGTGAGGTCTTTCTAAGACATGCTGCTGTCTGTCAGTGGGCTGTTAATCAGTTTGTGGCAGTGCAAATAAAATCGGAGGGTCTAATTAAAACTAATGAATGCCTGAGTGGAGACCAGCCTGGCCGCCTTGCTCTCGGAGCTCCGAGCAGCAGATAATGAAAGTGTCACCCAGCGAGTGATGTGTTTCAGCAGAAGTGTGAGGGCAGCAGAAATGAGGCCACAGCTCTCCCCACCCCCCGGGCGCGTTTGCAAGTGGGCGGGATCTTACGATGCTGGCGCATCTGATGAACTATTTCGGCAGGAACTGGGCCAGTATTCCGGTCGGTCCCACAGGCTGCGTGCTTTGTACAGAAGAGAAATGCATTTTTCTCCTGGCTCTGGAGACTGGGAAGCCTAGATGGAGGAGCCAGCTTCCAGGGCCCTTTGCTGCTGCATCATACGTGGAGGAAGGCAGAGGAGCAAGAGAGACCAAACTGTTTTAGTAACAAACCCACTCCCGCATGAGTGACACTGGTCCACTCATGAAGGCAGAGCCCTCGTGACCTAGCCACCTGTGAAACGTCCCACTCCTAGGCCGGCGTTGTGGTGCAGTGAGTAAAGCCACCGCCTGCAATACCAGCATCCCCTATGGCTGCTGGTTCAGGTCCTGGCTGCTCTACTTCCCATCCAGCCGTCTGCCAATGCGCCTGAGAAAACAAAAGAAGATGAGCCCCTGCCACCCACGTGGGAGACCCACATGAAGCTCCTGGCTCCTGGATTTGGCCTGGCCCAGCTCTGTCTGTTGTGGCCATCTGGGGAGTGAACCAGCAGATGGAAGATCTCTCTTTTTCTGTCTCTCCTTCTCTCTCTGTAACTCTAACTTGCAAGTAAATAAATCTTTTTAAAAAAGAATTATGAATGCAACATAGGGTGAGAGTAAAGAGAGATTCGCTGGCTGAAACAGAGAGAACGCTAGAGAGCATCAGACTAGCAGGCACAAGCAAGCAGCCACAACCCCTAGCAAGGGCTGAGGTCAAGTGTGCCCAGAGAAGGGTCCGTTGGGGCTGAGATCCAGCTCTGGCTGTCACCAAGGGCCAGTGACTGTCAGAGAAGCCTGTGGTGTCACAGGCAGGGAAGGGAGCCTTACAGAGGGGGCTTCCCGACGGGGCTGGGACCTTCACAGAGGGAGACAGCCCAACACCCTGCTCTCACCCTCTTTCCTTCTTGGTAGCTCTTACTGGGTTGGCCCTGGACGGTCCCCTCTGGGATCTTGGTTTGCCCCTTAGTCGCTCTTACTTTGTTACAAAAGGTAGTGAACCTGAGAGGTTTTTTGGTTTTTCTAAGATTTATTTTGTTTATTTGAAAGGCAGAGTTAAAGAGAAAGGCGGGGGTGGGGGGAGAGATCTTCCATCTGTTAGTTTGCTCCCCAAATGGCCTCAACAGCCAGGGTTGAGCCAGGCTGCTCTACTTCCAATCCAGCTCCCTGCTAATGCACCTAGGAAAGCAGTAGAAGATGGCCCAAGTGCCTGGGTCCCTGGCACCCACATAGGAGACCCAGATGGAGTTCCAGGCTCCTGGCTTTAGCCTGGTCCAACTCTGGCCATTGCAGCCACTTGGAGAGTGATCCAGGCAGATGGACGATTTCGCTCTCTTCCTCTGTCTATGTCTCTGTCACTCTGCCTTTCAAATAAATAAGCAATACTTCAAAAAAAAAAAAAAGGTTTGCTCTTTCCCAATCCCCAACTAAGGAACATGCTATTTTATTGATGGCAGTCTGTTCTAGACTAGGGGTGGCACAGGCAGAGTGGGGCCATGGTGCAGAACTCCGAAGATGCCCCAGGAAAATAAAGATCCTAGTTGAACAGAAAACAGTGTTCGAGAAAAGGCTGCAAAACCCTCTCCAACAACGAACACCTTGGGATCACAGCGTTTGTTTAAAAATGGAGCATCCTCATTGGGGGTGACAGCTGGGAGCTGGGGCCCACGTGGTATGTGTGGGTTTCTGACTGATACAGGCACTTAGCGAGGCCCTGGGTTAGGCAGAGAAATTGCTTGGCTCAGCAAGTTTCCCGGGCGGATGCAATTTGGAAGTGTCCCGAAGATCTAAAGAAACGCAAGCCAGAGCTGTTTGCACAAATGATTGGGAGCAGAAGCAAAAGCTTTGTCAAAGCAAAGGTGCATGAACAACATATCGGTCTCCTGGCGTCGCTTGAAGAAAATTAATGCGGAGGCCAAAGAGTGGGGAGCGCGCGGCCTGCAGCACCCCAGAGACCTGCCCGCGGCCTTTGTTCCCGGTGTAGCAGAAATGAACACTCCCAGCAGCCCTCCAGAGAGACACAAGACACGTGCATAAGTAAGATTAATCAGCCCAGCCCGCGTCCACCTAATGAGTCATCCTTGACATCGCAGAGAGTGAGTGGATCTGTGTACTCGCTCAGGCGGCAGAACCGGGGCCGCCCAGGTGTGTGCGAAGTTCAGGGGACAGGAAATGACAGAGCCCTGGCCGGCCGCGTGCTGGGAGGGCGACTTGGGGCGGCTGCTGGGGTGGAGAAAACGGAGACGTGGGGGCTCCTGTCCCTTCTGTCCTCCGGAACTCTCTTTTCTTTCCCAACAAAACTCCCAGGAAGCTGTTTGTGGTCCTCAGGACTTCCTGGGAATAGGGTGGAGTGGAGGCATCACCGGCGTCTAGGCCATTGGAGGAAGGGGGTATAGGGTCCAAGCCGTGCCAGGCCAAGCACTGCCCTAGGCCCCTTCCTGTCGTGTTCTCTTCAAATCCTCTCGCCAATTCTTCGTCGCTTGTACTCAGCCCACTTTTCAGATGAACACACTGAGGCTCCAAATCACACAGCAGGTCCTGGGTGAGGCTGAGCTCGGAGGTCACCTGGAGATTTGGGGCTCAGGCTGATGCTTTCTTAGCAGGAATTCTTGTACATGAATTTCAAAAATGTTGGCACCAAAACAAACCCATGTTCTTTCAATTCCACTTCCTCAAATGTTCTGAGGCCCTCCCCTCATTCGGTGAGCAGGAGGGAGGCGGGGGGTGGGGGTTAAACCCGAGCCCTGGGGATGCCAGCAGGCTGAGATGCCAGTGGGATTTGGATCGAGCGGATAATCCCTGTGTGCGTTTTAT